GGGGGTCTCTGGGAGGGTGTTTTTGCAGGGTAGGGGATGTTTGGATCTTGCAGGGCCCCAAAGGTGAGACACAGATGCCCCTTTGGAGAATTGTGGAGGGTTCCTGTGGCAAACTGTCTGTACCAGCTGGGGCAGTGGTACCAGTTGTGGGGGGACATTGGTTTTGGGGCTCTGATTGGCATGGGAGTGGGGAGAGCAGCAAGGGCCAATCCTGGAGCTGGGGGATCCCGGCAGCCTGGAGAGGTGGGGGAGGCTGGAGATGAGCAGGGTCTGGGCCCGTCCGACCCTGGACAGGGCGGTTACTTCTCGAGCTGGACTTGGGCAGCAGGACCAAGGGTCTCACCTGCTGTTTTTCCCCCAGGCCAGGATTTGTCAATCCCAACCGTTGTCTGGATGGAGCTGGAGGAGGATGCAAGGAAACGGAAGATGGCATGGGACACTGAGGCAGATGAGAAGGAAGTCCCTGCCCCTTTCCCCCTCTCCTCTGCTCCATCTCTCAGGCCAACATCACCCCTGGCTGCAGGACAACCCTGCTGCTGCCGCCCTGCCAGGGATGAATTGATGGGATCTCCTTCCCCTTCCCTCTGGCTCTGTGGTAAATCCCATCCTCTCCTTGTCCACTGTCCTTTGTCTCCTCATTGTGTCCTTCTTCCTTCCTCATTCCTTCCTCTCCTTTTCTTTCCTTACCCCAAGCACTGAGCTGCAGACGGAGACCAGGAAGAACAAATCCCTGATGCAGAACCTCATGGAAGAGGCCGTTTTGAGCAGCTCCACGGCATGAGAATGAAATGGGCAGGGAAAGCCCTGGAGATCCCATAGAAGGAGCAAACCCCGTGCCGGGAGCTGCGAGGAGGAAAGATCCCCCCTGTGCTGGGAAGGCCACTGGAGATGTATTTGGAACTGAGAGGTGTGGAGAGGAGTCATGGTGGGCAGAAGTCCCACAAGTGCTTGGAATGTGGGAAGGGCTTCAGCTGGAGCTCCAGAGCAATACATAATATAATGCCTAATACATAGTGTTATGGATTGACACTGGCACAGTGCCAGTGCCTCTATGAGAAGTGTATTCTTCAAAATGGTTATTGTGAGATGTGACTCGGGAACAGAACAAAGCAGGCTCTAACTTGGGAAATGGAGGGAAAAAAGACAACACTTTATTAATCTACACAGACACAAAAAAGGAAGGGGAAAACTACACACGCAATAATCTACAACAGAACACTTTTAAAACACTCCTCCTCCTCCCCCCAGTCCTCTAACATTCAAAATCCCTCTAACACATAAATTCTCACTCCGACACCCTCCTTTTACACAAGCACCCCCCAGCCCATCAGGAGAGGGAGAAGCCTCCCTCTTGTGCCATGGGCTTCCCCCGGGAAACACAGTAGAACTTTTGTGCTTCTATGTCACACATGGCAGCTGCTCGAAGAGAAATTTGCTATGGTGACTATCTTCTTTTTATGTCTAGTGCTCTCACTACTGTCTATGGATCTAAATTACTCCTTAGGTTTTTTAAGAATGCTTTTCACTCAGTTCTAAGACGTGGCTACTTCTCACTATTTGGGACTCGTCTCCCCCATTTCAGTTTTCTGGGGCTTGGGGCTCAGGAACGGAGATTCTTCGCTGAAGGCTGAGGGTTCACCACACCCTCCCCCCAGTCTCTGTTTTTTTGGCTTCTCTTTGCGGCTTTATTATTTTTGGCGTTTGGCCAGCCGCCTCTCCCAAGGTGCAGTCTCTGTATTAATGGAAGAATTCGGCTTCGCCTGTGGCTATGTCAGAGAAAAGTCTGGCTCAAAGCTACTTTAATTATTTTTTCTATCTCGGGTGCTCTATCTGCTGGCATTCTTTCACTTACTCAAAACTTTCTTTATCTTTTTCATTTTCTATCTCTTCTTAACTTCCAGCTGAGGAGGATCGTAAGCAGATTAAAAGGAACAGAAAACTTTTGTAAAGCTCTGACAACAGCAGCAAGTTCAATAATTTGGGGCGACCCCTCTGCTGTGGATACATCTGGTCTCCAGGCACTAGAAGAAAGGTGTCTCCATACTACCACTGATTTCTGAGAATGACCAGAACCATCTGTGAATACTGTTAAGGCTTGAAGGGGAACCTCACTCCTCTTGGGTTTCTCTGTCAGTTGAAATAAAGGTGTTAAAAGCTTCTGTTTTGGAGGATGTATTGAGATTTGTCCACTGAAGAGGAAGAGACTGTTTTGACTACATGGAAAGTTTTGTTAAGTAAAAAGGGAATTAGTACTTCAGACTATGTATTGCTGTGGGCTAAATCACAGGGTTTCAGCACTGATCCTGATACAGCATTTAGTGTTAAAGCATGGAAAAGAGTCAGGGATGGACTGTGGGAAGTCATCTGAGCGGGAGATAAAACTGTGGTCGATCTAGCTGTTACTTGGGGATCGCTTTTTGAGGCATTAAAGAAAGGGAAAACAGAACGAGAATAACCAGAGCGGGATGTGGATGAAGAATCGGGGTTGATAACAGAAACTGATGGGGGTATGAGGCAGACGGGGCCTCTGAGGGGGAACTTGTTGAATCCATCCTTGAAGAAGGTGCAGGTGCCATGGAAGCTACCAGGCTGGCTGCCAAAGCTTCTGGGAAAGCTTCCAAGGCTTCTGGGAAAGCTGCCATAGTGTCTCCTTATCAGACTCCTAAGCCTCTTTATCTATTATCTGCATCAGCAGCTCGGAATGGCGCCTGTATACACTACACCACTGTGCCAGTTAGCTGAAATGTCTTTAGCAGAGAGAGAAACCCAGCCATCTGCCCCCCTGCTCCCCTCTGAGCTGCAGGAACAATCTGCAACTTATTTGCAACAGCAGCTCGGAATGGCGCCTATATACACTACACCACTATGCCAGTTAGCTGAAATGTCTTTAGCAGAGAGAGAAACCCAGCCATCTGCCCCCCTGCTCCCCTCTGAGCTGCAGGAACAATCTGCAAGGTCGTATCCTTGGTTACCTGACAGTGACAGTGAATCAAGTGAAGACTCACCCAAGTAACACCGGAGTTGGGGCAAGGAACTGTTGACAGTTCACCTTCTAATAGCTCTAGCCCTACTGCCCCATGGACTTTGCCTCCATGTCAAGTAACTGTGCTTCCTTGACAGCCTCAGGAGTTTTGGGAATTTGCTAGGAAGAAAGCAGCTGAAGAAAAGAATTGGGACAAAATAGAAATATTAGGTGCTTCAAGAGTACCTCAGGAGAAGAGTGTTAATGCAAATGTTGCCTGTGATAACCCTATGGCTTTTCCAGTTTTTAAAGCAGCTCCTGGAACAGGGCAGGATGATAGTCATCACCTCTTTGCCTGGAAGGTTGTGCAAGATCTCCAATCGAAAGTGCCTCAGTATAGTATTAATTCCTCTGAAGTAATGCAATTAATACATGTAATCAATGCAGATGTGCTTTCACCTTATGACATCATGCATCTTGCTACAATTTTGTTCCAACCAGTACAATACCGTGTATTTCAAGATACTTGGAGGCGAGTGGCTGAGCACACAGCTTCAACAAATATGCAGCTGCCTCAACACAACCCTCGTCATGCTGTGCGTGTTGATGCCTTATTGGGCACTGGGCCTTTTGCCAACCCAAATTTACAGGCAAGGTGGGATCCTTCAATTTTGGCGCAAGCTCACCAAATTGGCATGAGTGCTATAATTAAAACAATGGAAATGGCACCTCCAAAACTGAGATATGTTACTATACAACAGGGGCTGAGAGAACCATTTTTGCAATTTGTGGAAAAGCTTGCTGCAGATATTGAAAAACAGGTAGATGATGAACCTTTGCGACACAGATTGTGTATACAAATGGCTAAAGAAAATGCAAACCCAGACTGCAGGAAGATTATTGACAACTTACTTGGGGAACCCACATTGCCTGAAATGATTATGACTTGCTTGAAAGTTGGTTCAGTGGAGCATAAAATGGCAGCTCTTGCTGCAGTTCTAAGACCTCCATCAAAATGCTTCGTTGTGGACAGCAAGGGCACATAAGGGCACAGTGTAATACCCAGAAAATAACAGCTAAGTCAACTGCAAGCAGTGATGTTGTGTGCAATCGTTGTGCTAAATTTGGGCACTATGCTAAACAATGCAGGATTAAATATCATGCAAATGGTCAGCTGTTGCAGGGAAATGGGAGGAAGAGCACAAAGGGGCGCGTGGGGACACAAATACCCCAACAACCATAGCAGCAATTTTGGCCTTCCCAGCACTGCAAAGCTGCTCATTTGCAAACAATACTCAGGGGCAACAAGTGGGTCTGCAGGGATTGATATACCCACCGCTGACATGGTAACCATTTTGGCAAAAGAAATACGCTAAGTGCCTCTCAATGCCTTTGGTCCAATAGGACGGGGGTTGAGTGCATTTTTGATAGGAAGATCAAGTACTACACTTAGAGGTATTCATGTGCGTTTAGGATTTTTTGATGCTGATTATTTAAGACAGATTCATGCTATGGTGTCAATTGATGACTCCCCCATCACAATTCAGAAAGGAACTTGCATTGCTCAAGCAGTACCTTTTGTGAGTTCTGTTCCAAATGTAGTGGACCGAAGTCGCGGCACAGGAAGTTTTGGATCAACAGGAGTACTCAAGTGTTCTGGACTGAGAAAGTAATGGAGGATCGTCCAGAAAAGACATGCATACTCACAGCCAGTGAATGTCATCCAGGAACCCTATCAGTAACAGGTTTGATTGACACTGGAGTAGATGCCACAATATTCTCCTGACTTTGCTGGCCTGAATCGTGGCCTCTCATTCATGCATGTTTTGGACTTAAGGGGCTGGGTGGTGCTACAACAGGTGGTTTGTCA